AGCAAAAATTTACCCAAATGGAGACTTCATTTTCGAAGAAAAAACGAAGAGTATGGGAACGTATACAGTAGTGGTTCCAATTCATGGAATTCAAATTGAGGTTGAAGGGAAGAAGCAAACGATTGACGTGGCAGCGCGTGCCAGGCATATCGTGAATCAGTTTCTCATTAGAATTGAGTCGGCGGAAAAATATACTGTTGTTGAAGTAAATTAAACACATTTTCTGTTATTTCTTAATTTTTTTCACGGTGGTACGGAAGCGTCATTTCTCAACGGACGCTTTCAAAAACAACTTAGAATGATTTGAGAGGTTTGATCAACAGATAAAAATGAAAATTCGAAGCCTTAGAACACGAAAACAAGCATTTGTGACGAACAGTGTCAATTGAAATCCGAGGCGAACCTCAATCCTGTTTTCTTGGAACCTACTTCTTCAGCAGGCACCAGAAAAATGGACTTTGAGGATGAAGACTGGAACGACACTGGAGGTGGAAATTTTGATCCATTTGAAGGTTTAGTTAATAACGATGACAATCCTGAGCATCATTATCAAACAACAGATCCATTAGTTCCTCTCAGTCAAGGACCCCTTTGCGATTCGATTCCATTTGATGCTTTTGAATATCCAGAGCCTCTTATTCAAAATGTTATTGCGTCTGTCAATTTGTCAACAGATTTGAACCTGAGGCTTATCGCAATTTCTGCACGAAACGCAGAATACAATCCTACGAAAGTCAACGCAGTGGTGAGTTTCTCTCCTCAAGGGTTTTCATCGCATTCTTTTGCTCGTAGGTCGTCCGAGTGCGCAACCCAAAATGCACTGGATTGCTGTTTCGTTCTGGCAGAATGATGGTCACGGGGGCGAGATCCGAAACGGTTGGCTTCTCGGTGGTGTTCCTTTTGTTCCTTTCAGTACCTCTGTTCTTCAGGACGCTCACATTGGTGGCAAAAAAATTGCGAAACTCTGCTTGAAAGTGGGCCACCCCTCACTTCGATTTCGAGGGTTCAAAGTTGAAAATATGATCGCATCTGTAAGTTCTCCATTTTGTTGCAGTCTTCATTTTGTATTTAGGCCGACTGCGGATTCCCAGTACGCCTAGAAGGTCTCGCTCATGACCACAGCTCCTACTGCTCTTATGAACCGGAAATGTTCTCTGGCTTAGTCTATCGCTATCATCCATTGGAATCCTATAAGGTAACAACTGTTCTCGTATCCCTGGTTGTTTCTATTCAGTGTTCTTTTATGAATTCCAGGCTGTTCTTCTCGTCTTCGTTTCCGGGAAGGTTATCCTTACCGGTTGTCGAACAATTGACCACGTTAATCAAGTTTTCCGGGCTATTTTTCCTGTGTTGTCCCAATACAGAAAGTAGCATTTTTTCCATTACTTTTAAATGCGTGTTTTTCAATCTTTCTTTCATCAAGTTACTTCCAATCTAAAACACAATTCGGGTTGAAAAGACAACAAGTCGCACTCCTCAGCGACACGGGACCGCTTCTTCACTACAAATCGCTCCTCAATTCTTCGGCTTCCTTCTTCATAGTGAATCCTTCGGGAACCTCAAATCTTCCCTTCGTTCTGAAATCGTATTCGTCTGACCAACCGATCAAATGATCTCCCACCTGAAGTCTTGTAGAAGAATATTGGCCCGTGCTATTGAAGCAGTTAGAACGCCTTCTTGATCTCTGAAGAAGACAAGAAGAAAAAACTGAGTATAGAGTTGAATAACTCAGATCTTGATTACTATGGATCGTACTTGGTTTGAAGCTGACGAAGTTTTGGCATAAATTCATTCACCAGAGTTGTGTTCAGCATCTTAGCGAACTGCTTCGGGAAGAAATGAAGACCAAAGAAGCTGGAAACTTCTAAAGCAGCCGCCAGTAAGAATGGGGAAACTCGTTTTGGTTTGGAAGAGAGGAAGCGAGCCCACCAACCCCACAACGAACCCGCTTCTGCAAGAGATCCACGGCTCATTTTTGCTACGTATATATTAGATACAGGGTGAAATAATGCTATTGGATAGATGGCCACACTTTAAATTTCAAGTAGAATTGTTGCTAGTGGCCAGTACAGAGATGGGTGCACAATCAAGAGGCACGCGAACGTTAGAGAAAGAATGGTAGGCCGAAGAAATGGGACAACTAACAAACGAACCTTTCCGACAAACGAGAAAGACGAGCCACAGCCGAAGAAAAGACGCCATTCTCTGAAAATAAGCAAGTTCGGTTTCCTCTTGCTTTTGTCTGCGAAGCGTGGCGAACTGATCTTGAGTCATTTCCTTGAGAAAACAAAATACGAAGCGGATTTTGAAAAGCTCGGTCTGACTTACCTTCGTCTTCGTAATGTAGGCAGGAATGCAATAGAGACATTCATGCTTGATTGCCATTTCTACAGTTTGCTGAAACCCTTGTACCTCACACAGTCTGTGAGAGAAATCAATCATCCAGAAAAAAACCCTGTGGCCTTACCTTGATAGAAGCATTCCATAGCTCCACACTGCTTGCGGGTTGGTCCCTAATTGAACTTCCACATTGTCTAACAACGACGTAACAACACTGGCAACCACATAGCGAAATAACTGAAGATTCGACGAGTAAGAGTGGAGAATTTCACCAAGACGAGAAGAAACCTGAAAAGAATTAAAAAATGGATTTCCGTAGTAGCAATTTTTGTTTAAAACGCACATTTTCAACCTGCGACGATGTTGACGCTAATTGATTTATAGCAAGATTTATAGATTTTTTGGAATCTATGCGAAATTTCTTTGTCTGAAAACTAAAATATGACATTCTAACGGTAGAACGACTCGTACTTCATCCCTAGAATCTTGCTTTATTTGTTGAAATTCTCCATTCAAATACTGCTTCCATCTTTCACAGTTGTCTAGTTGACTTTTGATATACTCATTCGATGACGTAGGAGGCTTCAATTGGTGACCAACTGAGGACTAAACCAAAAGTTTTTTTTTCAAAATTCATCCAATCCAAAACAAACCTGTGCTGCAAGCTCTTTCTGTTTTAGAGAAGCGTCTTCCTTCCTTTTATTTTCCTCTTCGGCCTCTAGAAATCAACAAACAACTCAACACGATTCATTTTTACAACTCACTATTTTTTGCTATTCGCTGTTCCTCTACAAGTTTTCTCTCTTCTTTCTCTTTTTCTTCCTTTGCTAATTTCTCTTTTTCGAATTTTTCTTTGTCTAATCTAAGTTTTTCTTCTGCTTTCCGTCGCTCCTCTTCCTTCCTCTTCAATTCTTTTCTTTCTGCTTCTTCCACCGCTTTTCTATGGAAGGACTCCGCCGCTGCTTGAACTTTCGCAGATAGCTGTCTGTCCCACAAACAGCATAAAATGAATCAAAGGAGTGGGACTCACTCAAAGATCGAGGGTTTCTTGCCAGCTGGAGAACCCACGGAGATTTTCGGCTCTGGGAAAGTCGGCGCATCGGGAAGGTGGTCAAAAGAAGGTTGCACTGTTGAAATAGACTTTAATGTTATGCCCCAGTGCGACAGCAAGAGCTCATCACTGAGGGGCGGAAATACTGAGTTACTGGACTCTGGATTTTCAGAGCCATGGAAAAGAGCTTTATTTCTGATGGATTGTGAATAACGCGGATCTGGTTCATCACTCTCAACTTGATTGAACAATGCATCCACTAAACCGAACCGTCTTGTCCGTTGTGGCACTTCACATTCTGTCCCTCTTATTTGCTCCTCTGAAGCTCGACGGGCGTGGGAAACCGGAGATACGAACAGCGTTATGGTTGGAGGTTGAAAAGCAGACGATCTGCAAGTAGGAGCACGCGTTCGCTGTGAGTTATAAACTTCTTCTGTTCTCTCTTCAGAGGGTTTTGATTTCCGAATATATGTCTTTGACTCCAGTTCCATCACAGGTGTGCCAGTTTCTGCTAACAGTCGTTAACCTGGCAAATAAGATGTATGAAGACATTGAAGGTGTGAGATGCCGGGCTTATGGGGATGCGCCAAACAACTACGAAACGCTTAAGGGTGTCAGGTCTTACAGTTGGGACCAAAAAAATTTGCTAATCACTCGAATAGAGATAGTCTGATATCTTTGACAATTGAAAAATCATTGCTGATCGGCTAACAGCATTGCTGGATGACTACAAAGTGAAGAGCACTTTTTCGAATAGATGAGCTCAATTTATTTACCTTCATTCCGAACAACTGCATCCATTTTCTTAATTTCGCCTCGTTGAGATTTTCCCAATATGCACGAGTGAAGCGAGCGCTACTTTGTCCTTCGGGATTTCCTGCGAAAAACGACTGATCATCAGAGTGCGCCAAATTGAAGAGACGCACCATGTTTTGATTCACCAATTGATCTCGCTTGAGAGTCTCGTTTTGTCTCCTAAATGAAATAGAAATAGAAGACTTTCCAAATCTAAAACACATACTCGATGGATTTCTCGATTGGCAGGCACCCCCTTTCTCCAATTCAATTCTTTGATCCGCCAATCTCACAAAAAAAGATTCCTTTCTTTCTTCTTGATCCTGTCTCTCTTCAAAAATGGAATATCCACAACTGTTAAATTCCAGATTCCCAATCTCATCGTGTTCTCCTGTTTCCGAATTGTTCTTCCCTTGATGAAGATCTTCATTCGTAACAGTCCATTCACATGATTGATGATGGGATATATCCGTTTCATCAACATTTTCAGAAACATCTTGAAAATCATCTATTTTACTGATGGCCGATAAGATTCGCGACTCAAGCGCATCACTCTTGTTCATTTCTGGAATCCTGCTTGGAATTCCAGTCCTTCGAATGTCAATTTCATAAGAAAGTGCATTTGCTGGGAGCGCTGGGGTTTTCGGGGATGGACTTCTTATTCCCAGAAGACTCGAACGTCCATCGGTGAGTCTGCGTCAAGTAACAAGAAAGACAAGATTGGAAAATTAACAAGAGAGACAAGCAAAGTAGAAGATCCACGGGGAAGGTTCTACTTACCCCCATAATGCGCTTGAAAGTGCTTGTCTTTCATTTTCTAGAAGTTGTATTCTTCTGGATACTAATCCAAGACGCTCTCGAAGTTTTGTAATATAGGTAGGAATTTCATCCTCGTTCTGGAATGAAAAACTGATGCAAAATTTTGCCTCTTCATTTTGAAATTGCACTCAACAGCTACCTTAGGTCGCGCATTAATCCATTGAAGGGCTGCTGCTTCAGCACATCCAAAGACTCTTTGAATCTTCTTGGTTACATTGGAATCATGAAAAAGAGTTTCATCCCACTCATGCCTAGTTTCTTTAACGGTATGGCAATCCACTCCAACTATGCTCCATTACGAAGAGGAGAACTTGACGAAGCTGAATCAGGGTTTAAGGAATCAAGTCCTCGTGCTCTCGATCGACGATAAACTAATTGGAGATCCTTCGGTAAACTCTTTTTCCGTCTTGATGAGGAACGCCTAATGACGAGTTCTTCTTCATTTGCTTCAGACGAATCAGTTCGTCCTCCCGGTACAGATTTTCTCACACACTCCGCAGTTTTTTTCACATTCCACTGTCTCTACACGCTCGTTTAGGGATTCGTCCACAATCGTCTCAGCAGCTTCCTCATCGCCTATTTGTCTGTTTTCTCATCAGTCTCACAGGGGAACACTGTCTTTGGGTTGGTTCAACTTCTGCCTCTAAAGGAGAGCAATGTCCTCCTGAAGACGACGGACTCCTAAGCCATTGAGGGAGCTTCTCTCTCGCTACCGTATACATCAAAGATTCCTCTTCAAGCCCTGAACCTTCGGTTTTATTCTTCACTTCTTCGGGGCTGCAGCTTTTTTTCTTGATCCACCCAGATTTGACCCTCGGTGGCTTTTCTATGGTTCTTTCAATCACATCAATACGCCCTTCTTTTATACCGAATTCCTTCTTCCTCTTCAAGATCAATAACTTCCCCAGAAGCCAATGTTTCCCTTGTGTTCATCGCACTGAATGAATGATTTCGAGATGTTTGAATTCGCGTCTGTCATCACGCTGCTTAGAAGCTGTGTGCCTCATTTGTTCAGTACGACCAAAAGATTGGTTCATCGGAGATTCATACAGATCATGATATCTTTCATTCCGTAAGCATCACTCAAATCAAAAGACAATCTCGAATCATGGATAAAAAAGACACAAGAAACAAAAATAGAAAGCATGAGAAAGAACGCAGATCGGAGTTCGAGCATTGTGACTCAGATTGAATACTTGACTAATTTTAAAACAAACAAGTTATGAAAGCAGTTTTAGTTTTGAATGACCCGGCATGCACTCTTCTTGTCATCAGGACTGATTGGAACGGAGGCTTTGTAAGGGTCTCCTAGATGAAATGAGCGAGAAACAAGGCAAATCCACAAAACAAAATGAAAAGACATTCG